CAACTTCTAAAAATAGCATCCTTTTGGCTAAGTTGTTCCTTTATGTCTTTCCTTGAGAAAGCGAGGGTGAACAGAATACTGATCAGGAATCACTAGCAGAGGCTGCCTCAGGAGCATCATTAAGAGGCGCATTTCTCCCACAGCCTCCTATTTTTCTGATCAAGAAAAGGGTATTTTCCATCTCCTTTTGCTTAAGGTTGGAGCAGTGACTGTCTACCCCTGAGCCTCTTCATCCATTCAGGTCTCAGCTTTCCCTATCCAAGACGTGCCTCTGTTTGGTGCACCTCAGGGCTGGAAGGCTGATCAAGCTTCTGAGCTCCCACCCAAAATTCAGCATAGCCCCAACACTTGAACTGGTCTTATAGGAAGCTGCCAATAGGGTCTACAGACATATATGGAAGGGAAGCTGCATCTAACTGGTCTTCAACAGTCCTTCACTGGGCATCTCTTAACTCTGACTGATTAATATATATTCACAAATGCAATGGTTGCATCCTGACCAGGTTTAAGCTGAGACCAACATTTAAGGTCATTTTTATTTTTGTATTTTTTAATATGCAAACTGATTTTAAAGGCCGTTGGAGGGGGATGTCACCAACCTCTTCTGTGGGCTGAAGCCACTGATATCTGAAACGCTGTTGGGACTTCACCCAGAGGATGAAAGGAGATGGGAAGTTTCTTTTTCTATACAACACCCCCAGCTCCTGTGAAGGGAGAGCTTAGGCAGCCAGTACACCTTATTGTCCCACATAACAAAGTTTTCCAAATTCCCCAAAATGGAGGAGGAAAAATGTCTGCTTTGGTGGTGCTTGAGCTACATGTGCTATTAGTGAAGGGAGTAACAGGAGTCAAATGCTGTGCTAAGCATACGCTTATAGCCAAATAAATGGACAAAAGGTCAAATCAAAGACTATCCACATTCGAGGTTTATTTCAGGACCCCTTCTTCTACCACTACTAGGGGAGCCACAGCCCTTTCAGAAACAAGCTGTTCCTGCTATTGCTGGCTTTGGACAAAAAGCATACTGCTGCTAACCTCTTACATAAAGTGAGCAGACAAACAGCTGAATTGCTGACCCCTAATGGCCTTTTCCCTAGGATTTGTGGGTTTGCACAAAGAAGCCAACATTTTACATGCAGCCCTTGATGGAGTTTGGAATTGTGCAGAAACACTGCTTGGAGTGCACACTCTTAACCCAATTGTTTGTGTACAGTGTTCCTCCTCTCTGATGCCAAACACTGTAGGTCCCTGGGTTATTTTTTTGTTGGTTTGTTTTGTTTTTTTTTTTAAGCTGCTTGGCCATACACAACTTTGAAACCCTGTATATACCTCCATTGCCATTAACATCATGATGTAAGTGCAAGCCTGCAGTCAAGGACATTCCTCTTTGTTACAGTCCATCCTCTTTTTTTTACAGCTGAACACTCAGAGATCAGTAGATACAAGGTCCAGAACTATTAAACACTCCTTGGATGCAAACGTGCGAGTTTTCTGGGACTGAATGCAAGAAGCAGGCAGCAATATGCATCAGGTTTATTTTATGAGAGAGAAATATTTAGCAAAAGCAGCTGACTCAGACTGAGTCCTGACTAAACAGTTCTCATCCTTACTTGCAGATTGATTTAACAGATTTTGATAGACTTCTGTCAGTTAGCAACAGATACAAAGCATCCATAAGGAATTACTATTTCCCTCTGAGTGGAGAACCATGGGCAGACCTCAGGCACCAGAGTGCCAACCTGCAGTAAAACACCACCTTTCCAATAAACCACAGGCTATGCTGACTTACCCTGGCTCAGCAAATCCCAGAGCCTCCAGCAGCCTGCCCCCATCATATCCATTAAAACTACTCAAACACAGCAGTAAAAACATGCACTGCAGCAGAGTATTTCAAGGACCACACACTGCCTGTTACCAATGCACTGGATGTTTTCAAGCCTCCCTAAGAAATCAAGCCTCACACCTCAGAGGATGAGAAAGTGCAAGCAATCCAACAGCCCGACTGGTGTATTTACAAAAGCCAAGGATGAAAGCACGAAACACTACAATACTCAAATTCAACAATAACAAAACAGCATTCAGGCATAACAGCCAGCACAAAAATCACCATTGTACATTTCATTTCCAGTCAGTTGAGCTCTGAGCTGCTAAAGACTACAGTATATTCTATTCCATACTCTTCAGCTATATAAATCCTACCTTCGTATTTTTGTTTTAATTTGAAAGACATAATTGTTGTGAACAGACAAAGTATTACCTGGAATAACACTTCAAATGCAAATTAAAGCCTCTGTAAAATTATTGTAATGCAAGAGTACCATGGTTTATTAACAGCAGATTTGCAAGGTTAATTTTCAATTATGTATTTCTTATTAGTTTCCTAGCTGTCTTGCTATTATTAAATTTAAAGAGGAAGATACTTTCAATATGTCCAGCTTCTGTGGCATTATTACTGATAATTATTCCTATTTTCCAATTTGTGTTACTCTCGTGTCTTGCAAAATTTGTAATTAATGAGCAAATAATTATAGCAGCACTTACTAGGGCTGCTTTAGTTAAGGCTGTGTCAGCTTTTGTATTAGGATCCCCATTTTTCAAGGGTTTATAACTCAAGCATAAAAATTCACTCTGGGCAGGCCCCTGTCATAAGAGCTGTCTGCTGAGCATGATTTTTTTGCTTTTAAATGTTTCTAAGCAGCATTATTGGTTCCTTTTTTCACGCTATGGATATTAAAAAGAAAAATCTCAAACTTCCAAGGACATTAAGTTCACAGTTCTCCATTTTTTATGCTCCAATGGCTCTTAAGTAAAGACATTTTATTTTAAAGTGAAGGTGTTCACCTTTAAAAACACAAAAGATGCCTCAGCATCTCCAAAGACCAGAACTAGGTTTTTAATGCCCGGTTGTCATTAGCTTTACAAAATAGACCCAGAAGAGAGCTTGACATTCAGGGTTGTTTATGTTGATCCCAACCAGTTAAGCATTCATGCACATACTCAATTAAGGCACATGAGTGGCCCTTAGGAGTCAACAGGCCTGTCCACACTCTCAGAGATGCACATGTATTCACTGCCCTGATTGAGCAAAACAAAGCATTACTTTCGACACAATTTTAGGCTGTCCCTATTCACTGCAAACTGTTGTACACATGCTTGGGAAAACTGAGCATCACAGGGTTCAGTTCTTCAGGATGCTGAGGACACAGCATTCCTTAAACCTATAGGGCTTAAAAGGCTCAGCACCTTCTTAACAACATGCTCAGCATCATGCAGTGTCCTGTCTGGTGCCAGTATAAAACTTATCACAGAACTGTTGCTTCTTTTTCAGCTGGAAGAGGAAGCCAAAAGTGAAAAAGGGAAAGGGAAAAGCAGTGTATTCTGAAACACAAAGTTTGCTATATGCCCCATACGTTTTGCCACAAACAATAATGACACCTCTAGAGCAAGAAGATCTACCAAAATTCAGGTACTACAGGAGAGCTCATCACAACAGCTTTCTCTAAACATCCTACATAGTTGGTCACTCAGAAAACACTGAATGCACCCCTTCATTACTGCCTGGCCTTCAGTATGCCTCCTCCTGCAAAGATTTTTGGAAGTCATCTAGCTCCTGGGAAGCCACCCTTGGAATTGTTTGACCGCAATATTGAGTTTAATTAAAGCAAGACCACTGCAATTCAGCAAAGAAAGAACAGCATTGTCAGCATATCAATAAGCTCATTTTAGGTAAACTTTCAAAGAGCAGGGTGAATAAGACACTTTCATCAGCAAAAACACATGCAAAAAAAGCCTCCAAATATTGCTTAGAAACACAGACAGAGATGAGACCTACCTGCATCAGTCACAGCAAGTCATGGAAAACAAGGTTTGTCCTCTTGAAAATCCAGGAAAGTTATGCCTTAAGCCTCCTCACCAAGACAAAAGCTGTAGGCTCTGTGGACCTCTTGTTTATTTTCGCTTGACTTCCATCAGCTGAGGCTATTCACACCCCTCTTTGGTGTAATTATCTCCTCACCTTTGAGTTAACTTCTAAAGAGGGCAACCCCTTTCTTAATCTATTAGTCAATTCAGAGCCATGGCACTTGAGCCTTTTACCACAGTGACTACGAGGGCACAAACATACCTTCCCACTGGTGCCATCCTCATTACATACTTTATTAGTCCGTTAGCAAATCCACCAATAATTTGCAAACCTCACCATGTTACAGGAATGCTGAGATATTTATTCCTGCAAAGCACATACAGAATCATAGAATTGTTTATGTTGGAAAAGACCTTTAAGATTGAGTCCAGCAGTTAACCCAGCACAGATAAGTCCACCACTAAACCATGTCCCTAAGTGTCATGTCTACATGTCTTTTAAATACCTCCAAGGATGGTGACTCCATCATTTCCCTGGGCAGCCTGCTCCAATGCTTGACAACCCTTCCAGTGAAGAAATGTTTTCTAATATCCAGTCTAACCCCCCCCCCACACACACAACTTGTTGCCCTTCACTGGACCTGCTCCAGCACCTCAATGTCCTTCTTGGAGCAAGAGACCCAAAACTGAACATAGTATTCAAGGTGTAGCTTCACCAGTGCACCAGTACAGGGAAGTGATTGCTACCTTAGTCCTGCTAGCCACTCTATTGCTGACACATAGCCTGGCCCAGCTACAGCAAATGTTAATCTATAAAAACCCTTGACATATAAACCAACTGTCTATCTTTCAGCTAAATATTTTCTCTTGATGACCTCATGTCATAAGCTTGCCCAGTTAAGATTGGCTTGCTAAATCTAGTCAGAGGAATCTATATGTGCTGATATTCCACAGTTGCTGATGGCCTCACATTTTGACTGTAACCATGGTGCTGCTGGATTTATCATGGCTGCATGGCACAGTGTGTCCCCCATTATTCTTTCCTGGCAGCTTTGTATAGCTTTTATTTAGCTGTAAAAATAATTTACATTTCTTAAGCATCTGACTTAAAGATAAAATAGAATTATGACATTGAGAGCTGGAGATTTCATGCAAATTTATTTGTAAATACAAACCATGTTTAGAATGCAAAATTACACAAATGTCTTCTACATATCACCCATCTCTCAGAAAAATTAATTCTTTACTTTTTTAAGAATCATGCCTTAACCTATTATCTACATAGCTGCAACATGAATGGAAACTCAGTAGAAAATCCTAAGTGAAATTTGGGTACCCTGGGTTGCCGAAGAGATCAGTTATGTGAGGAGGAATTTTCTCCCTTCTGCTTCACTGACTTGAAGTTGTTCAGGTCACCAGCCTGTGGCACTCTCCATCAGCAGCTCCTGGCCTGGGATGAAATTCTGCCTCCAGTGAAGTCATTGACAAACTCTTGCTTGGCTTTACAGGGGTCATGATGTTCAGCTGTCATAAGTGATGCACAGGAAATGCAGTCACACCACGAGTCAACCTCATAGTGCTCATGTATTCACATCACACACACAGCTCAGGCACCTGGTCCAAAAGTTATGTTACTTGAATATTCCAGAATAATATTTCTGGGAAAACCCAGATACTTGCATCTAATTCCATTATACCAAAACATCATAAATCCAAGTGATTTTTATGGTCTTTTGGAATTTCAGAATGGTACAGAATGTATTTTTTAAAGCTGGATACGAGTGATGAGGGGTTTTCTGACTATAAAGCTACTTTGTGCAAATAATCTAACAGTAGCTATTTTGATTTCAAAATGGTCATAGATTTTGAATGCAAATATGGCTTCATAAAATTTCTTTTAAAACTTTTGTCAGTTTCTTTCTGCTTTTCCTTGTAGCCCCTTCTCAATCTTGGTTGTATGAACATTGTCTCTTCTTATGCAAGATCTCTGCTTTATATTTGGGGGGGGGAGGGGGGGGAAGAATAAAATCAGTGGTTGTTTTCTTGGCGTTCCAATAACATAATCCCTATGAGTTCACAGCTTGATAAACAATTTCAGTTTAACATCCCTTCTACTTGGTGGAAGCAGCATCGAAACCATCTCAGGAATCTCCATCCTTCCCGTTCTACTGTCACACTGAATTCTCCACTGGGTAGGTCCTATTCCCATGGCACTCGATAAAAAAAAAAAAAGGTGGAGAATTATTTCCTAAGGGAAAAAAAAAAAAAAACCCAGCATAAAAATAATATCTGCCAATGCCCTGCTCTTTCTGTAACTATGCTTCCATGTTGAGGCTGAATACAACTCTTGAACTGAAAGTAACACAGAAAATGACTTCTCCTTTAAGTCAGAAAGCAGTTCTGCAGCATGTTGGCTTTGCCAAACCTGTGTAAATCCACACCACCCAAACTTTTGAGCCTCTGCTCATTATACTACATATAAAGGCATCCAGCTGCGTTTTGCTGTCTCTCAGATCACTTGTACACGAAATCAGCTATCATCTCAGATGTATTAAAATAGTTATTTCAGCATTTCATACTATCAGACATGCAATTTGTCTTTGCCTCTTGTCTGCCACACAGCACTGCTTGGCTTTCGGTGCATACAGCTGGGGTGAACATGACAAAACCCTGCCCAATTCACATTTCTCCTGCCTGCAGCTTGCTGCCAGCTTGAGGGAAGCCCAGGCAGTGAAAGGCTGTGTATGGAGCACCTCAGGAGCCCTTTGAATTTCAAAGATGACTTTTAATTATAGATTAGTGCTTTCAGCAGCCAACAGGCTGGTCCGGACCCCACACCTCTAAGGACTTGGTAAGGTGGAAAAACTCAAGTCCCCCCATGACTGTTACCACATGTGTTACTGCCATAGAGGCGTCCTTATTTGCTTCAATAAGAATGTCCCTTATTTACCTGAATACTGTAGTCAGTGATAGAGCTGGGAGCTCAAGGAACACAGGTTCAGGTAAATTTTTACTTTCAAATTGTAATAAATAATACATTTAATTGTAAACTAAATAGATGTTTTTAAACCGGTTTGTTGTTTGGGGTTTTTTAACATCACCTTCTGAGAAATTGCACAGGGAAGCAACTCCAGGATTGTAACAGAAAATATTCACTAAATGATTGTCTGGAATTTATCAGGTTATAAAACTTTCTGTTGGTGCTTTTAACTATCCCACAGAATTCCTTAGAAGAAGCATAATATTTGGTGAAGTCTCATGGAAGAACCCAAAACACAAGTAAAATGTCTGTTCTGGTGTTTTAACACTGAGGACATGTTATCGATTTTATACATTATCAGAAGAATTATACCTTTTGTAGCCAGTCATTGCTTTATCAGCATACTCAGAAGGTGTCCTGGTGTTGTGAGAAGAATCCAGTCATATTCTCCAAGACCACATTTATCTTGATAACTGTAGGTTAGCAACATCTACTGTGAAGAGCAGGAGAGTGATGGCTATGGGTGTTCAGCTTTGCATCCTGTCTGGTACTGGACCAAACATTCATCGGGACATCTGAAATATGGAGATGAAATGAAGAAATGAAAAAGAAAAAAAAAAAAGTGAGGTGTACGAATGAGAAATGTCATAATTAAGAAGAATCGAGTTAAATGGAGACAGGTTTAACAAGTATAGAATAGGTTTACATCTCAGGAGGGAATAATACTTTTACAACCTCAGACAGGACCTGAGGCTCCAGTCTCAAAGACTTTATGTGCTTCAGTCCCATTGCAAACAATTGGATTTAAGCACACGTTTAAGTGTGTGGCTGAGCGGTGATGGTTTGTGAGATCTCTATAAAAGCACAACCTTCTATTCTCCCAAACCATATGGGTTTGACTTCCCATATGGAGTGACAAAATAAAAATATATTCTAAAAATAGCTCTCAGAAAATGCACTGGCTGAAGGCTGCTTCCTGTGCTACAATTTGATTAGCCTTGTGTTTTATTTCTTCAGCAGCAATTTCAATTTATCTCTGATTTGGAGCATGAAAAGCTGCTTTTATAGTTGTAAGCAGAGGAGAAAAAGGCATCCGGGAAGCAAATATAGAGAGCTCTTCTGACTTTATAGTAGCTTGCAGGGTCAAGTAAAAAGATTTTAGAGCATCAGAAAACAAAGTGATGCTGGGGGATGATCTATCTTTGCAATCTGTATTTAAGTTGCCTGTCAGCCCCTCAGCAGAACATTACATATTCTGCACAGCTCCAAAGTAACCTAAAGGAGCCAAAAATTGTCAGTGCAGAAATCCCCTCTGTGGAAGGGATCTCTGCCAGCATGGCTCTCGCCCTGCTCGGCACAGTAGCCACACGCGGCTCCCTGACAGCTCCTTCTGTCCACTGCGATGAGAGGAGCTGGAGGAGCCTCTCCCACAGCATCGCAGCATTGATGGATGGTACCAAATGCAAACATTCCCATTTTGGCTCTGTTGGGAGGTGCCTCCTTGAAGGCAAAAACCTTCTTTCTTGTTTTTAAGAAAAATATTTAAAATTTTAAATTCATTCCTTAAACATTGGCTGGGTCAGGGAGCAAACCACCAACCAAGCACATGGGGATCTGCTGGTGGCATCTAAGACCTGAAACTGCTGGCACTGGAGAAGGGGAAGGAGGGAATCTACCTTCCTTCTGTCACGTTCTTACCTGAAGGTTGAAGAAGTGTCACAGCTGGGCTGAACAGGAATTACTTTCCCTCCTGCCTCATGCTGAAGGACAGCTGGGGAATAACATCACAGCACAAACACATCATCACCCCTCAACAGTAGATGGGTCTGGACTAGATAAAGGGCTGATGTTCCAAATATGGGGTTTATGTGTGCTTGGTTTGAGACTGACACAACAATGTGTCTCAACAAGGATTCTTCCTTTGGGATCTGCTATGAAGCTCCTGTGCCTCCAGAAGCTGTCCATGGATGCCTGGGCTTTGCTGCTCCCTGATTTAGCTTGCTGCCTTAGACTGAAGGCTGGGATCTAACAATCACCCCTGCTCCAGTGGCAACATGAACACAGGCAGCTGTCATTTATTTTTCTGGGCTACACAGGTCCATACCCATCCTTGTAACCTCTGAGAATCCAATGTGAGGTAACTACTCCAGTTAGAGACATACATTTCTTATTATTTGTGCCTTTTGCAAAGTAAGTAAACAGATAGATAGCAGACAGAAATGTAACTGAAAACATTTGTGCTCATCTTTCCAGGAGGACAGAGTACGACATGTCCTGCTTTACAGCATTTCAGTTTTCCCACGTCCTTGAGTTTGCTTGGGTTTATGCAAATAATAAGTGTGGATTTCCTGCAGGCCTCTGACACTGCTTTAGTAACACACACTCTGGGAGAGGTTTACTGTCCCATTTCTGGGTTAGTATTTGTTGCTGAGCTGCGAAAGTGAAATACAACTGAGAGAAAACGTGTTTGCAAGAAAACTGCACCCCTCCTTTCAGCACGAGGCAGCAGGGATAGCAAGTCCTGGTGGGGTGGGTTGGGAGAGGTATAGCAACTCCAAGCTCCAGTTCAGACCAGAAGGAATGAGCAACCAGTGAAGGACCACCTCCTCTCCTGGCCATTTGCATTGACCAGCTATCTGGAGTGAGATAAAGCAGACAAATCTCTGGCCAGGCTCTTGGTACATGTCTCCAACCCACATCTCCAGCAGCTGAAAATAAAGAGGGTTTGGGGTTGTTTTCTGATGGGTTGTTTTTTCTTGTTTCTCTCCAGTCTATTAAAGCTTTAGGAATGACTTTTTCAGTCTGAAAAACAGCTCTAGATTTACCCTTAAAAGAGACATTTATAATATCTAAGAAACATTAAAACCCAAGGAAGGAAAATAAAAGATATCTAGAGTAGGAAGAAGCTGAGCTGCAAAAGCTTTGGAAGAGAAAGGATTAGAGGCCAGCTTTTTTCTAAAGAATTTATATAGAGAAAAAAGCCCAAACCACTTTGGAAACAATTATTTACAAAGTTTAAAGTATTTGGCACCCTTTGCTTCTGTAAGATAAGGGGCAACAAATAACATCCATAGTCACTAGGAGTTAGCCCAATTACTTCTGTCAGCAAAACTAATTCTACAGAAAATACGTTTCTTCCAGGAAGAATACTTTCCTTGCTTCAAATTCGTTTTTACATTGCTAATAAGTCTCTTAGCAGTAGATTATAAGTGCCTCTTAAGCCAGGAACAGGCAGATCGCCCTGAGCGCAGCCAGCAGTCTCTTCTCCGGAAGAAACGTGATTGAAGCCAAGGAGAATTTCGCCTGAGGAGGTTCACTGCAGGTGTTTGGTCCCATGTCTGTACCCTGCACTGCTACAGAAACTGTTAATAATTGTTATACACCACCAGTCTTCAGAAACAATCTAGAACTATTCTGACCTTTTTACCTCTCCTTACATCTAGAAATGAGAGGGTGTTTTCAGGGCTACATGCCCAGAGAATAAAAACAGTCCATCTGCATGACAACTTATACAAGGCCCATGAAACTTAAAAACATGGCCAAAATGATCCAAAAACTTTCTGAAACATCCTAAGCCTGGCACCTGCTGGGCCAGGTAAACCCTCAAGGGAATGTAAGTTCAGAAGAACTTAACTTCAGTATAAAAGTGATGGATGAGAGATAAAGACAGAGACAGCCGTTTCTGGCACTGATGGGTCCCAAGAAGTGGATACGGAGACAAACAGAGAGCTAAAACTTTCTGACACATCACCAGAACAATCTGTAAAAACATTCACTGTCTTTTTGTAGATAAATACAGGTATATCATCTCTACCTGAAGGCAGGGGTAAGCACCAGGCTGCCCCTGGCAGCTCACCTGCATATGGTGCAAAGGCAGCTTCTCTTCCGGACAGCATATCAGGGCTGGGCTGGGAATTCACCACTCCAACACCAAGGAGGCTGTCAGTGCCCTCTCCTGTGCTGGGAGGGGTGGAAAGAATAAAAAGTGATTTTAGAGCTCACAAGAATTACAGCTGGTAACGCCTGTATGGAACAATAAGCTGTTGTCAAGTGTTGCCTGCTCTGCAGTGCTTTGCACGGAAAAGCATCAGAAACAATGCGCCTCAGGAAGCTGCCGGAAAAATAAATGCAGCATCTTAATTCACCCAGAGAAATGCTCACTTGTGCAAAGAAAATATTTAGATTATGAAGAAAGAGGATCAGCTTTCAGCTTGGGATATTCCGGCAACTCTCCGATTGATTTGTGCTTAGGCACTTCACTGAAGAACGGAGAATTGAGGTGTCTATAGCCAGTCCACATATTATCAAAAAGCATCTGACAAAGTCAGAAATCTAAATCCTGCACCCAGAAAAGGGGCTAAACTCTTTAAATCGAGTAATTCCATTTTAATTCCTCATGTTCTTCGATTTTTTTGTTCCAAAGGCTTTGTGGCAATTTATGTCAAAGAGCTGAGTAAATATTTTCTTGCACTGTGTGGAAGATGATGTCAGGCAGTGATGGAAGTGAAATACTGACTTTGCATAACTGTTTGTAACTGAGATAGAATTGACTCATTTTCTGAGATTATAGAAAATGCATTCTGTGATTATATATATGACCCTGGAGGCCCCATGGAGGTGAGATTATGCATCTCACAATGTTATTTTACCAGGAAAAAAATTGATTAAGTAAATAAAAAAATCGGCAGGATGTGACTTCATCGTGCACTATTGACATCTGCTTATGTGATTTAAAGGATGTTACTATGAATATCATAGTTGCTAATGTAAATGCTGAAGAAACCATAGGTCAATCATATAATAATAAATACTACCATAAGTTTCCCAAGGCCAGAAATGGCTGAAATGGTGATTAGAATTATGAATTTACTCTTGAATTATGTGATACTAAAAACACTTAGACTGCTGCTGCTTTCCTGGAACTGCTCCATTAAAACCAAGTAGATACACTCCCCAATCTTTCTTCCTCCAAGAAATAATGTCACCTTTTCATAAGGATATTTTCCTTTCACCTAGGCACCCACCTCACCCTGTGTGCTGCATTAAGCTGCTTTAGAGGGGTGCATTGAGCTACACATATATATGGTCCCTATCGCTCTGGGTGCTGGTCTGAGAATGCAGCACTCCATCTGTGCTGTTTGTGTTAGATACCTCACAGTGATGTAGAAAAAGAGCAGAAAAGCCTCAAAATGGTACTGCAGGCATAAAGCAAGCATCTAAACTCATCATCAGTGGCAAGCCACTTCTTCTCTTAAACACCAGAATAAAGTACTCTCAAAATGCATTAATGCAATAGCAGATACATCAAGTGTGATGAAAGACTGACCTAAACAATATGGTTTAAATTGACAAAACACCTGAAACTCATGGCACTATTTATGACACCTCAGAATTACCCTGGACACTGGGAAGACACAAAAAAAATGTGGTTGCAGCTTTAGCGTAATTCATTTAGGAGTTATCTGGCAGCACCTTGTGCAGCAAAAAAAATCACCCTGGCCAGCCTGGTGTTGCAGAGCAAATACTTCCTCCGGAGGCTGAGGGGGGTGACAGTCACTTTACAGCACAAACTGCCATTCTTCACCTACTTTTCCCCAGCTTGGTACATGCCTCCTGTGATGAAGGCTGCATGACTTTGTCCCAAAGCAGTCTGAAAATCAGAAGCTGTTGCATGAAAATAAGTAATAGGAATTGCTGGGTGATCACTGCATTACCTGGTGATTCCTGCCAACAGCTGTATGTGGCAGGCTGCTAAATCGTATTTTTACAGGGATAAAAACAAACCAAACAAAAGCTAACACAATCTAATCCTGTAATGCTATCTGAATATTGTTGGGTTGTTTTCCTTTAATGCTTTTAACTCCTTACTGAGGGGAAGCCCATAGCTGAGCAGTCATGTTCGAGCTGGTGCCTAATGCTGAAACACTCCATACAAAGAAATCCAGATATGCCATGAGTATTTTAGCACAGTTATACAAAAGTCTAAAATTAGGTCATAAATTATATAATCTTGCAAGGAAACAACAAATTTAATGACTATGCCAAACCAGAGATAAAAGCTGAGGAAGGAAATAGCATCTTGCTCATTAAATATTAAGGATCAGATCCTTCAAACATTCTCCAGTGATGAACTCTGTGGGAGTTTGGCATCTGTATTTGTGTGTATTCTATAGAATATGCTTATACATCATATACAAGTGCTGAATGTGATTTATGGAGCACAAACACATAGTAAGTATATTTATAATGCATAAGTATATTCCATCAAGAGCACAGAAGGTGATTAGTGACAGTTTCCTAAGAGGTTTAATCAGATATTTTGATGGCTTATTTCCAGTGTTGCTCCAAAAATGTTTTTCATTACAGGGCACTGAGAAAGAGCAGGTAGAGGCATCTCTGTTTCACACTTACAGCAGCAGCATCAGATAGCAGATTTAGAGATCAGCTCTGTTCCTCCTCGGTAGGATTGAAGAACCCTGTAAAAGAAAAAAGATTACCAAGTTATAACAATGGATTTGAAAATTCCCTGCAACCTT